CAAGACTGAAGGATGCCTACTTATGCCTTGTTTCTCCACAAAACTTCCGTGCAAATAAAAAGTATGAGCAAAAAACTGGACTTGTAAACTTAACTAGGATGCCCTAGTTTTCTCTTTTGGAGGGAAATGCTGACACTGTGTGACATTCAAAAATCCTGTCACTTCACCTAGGAAAGGAAGAGGCTTGGTCTGCTTTGCCACCATGTTTTACTGCATTCACTGTATTTCCCACTTTGCTGGAAAATGGCCGTGGTTCTTTCAGCCCTGCTGACTAAATCAATGAGCAAGAAATGAAATAACTGCTGAGGCACATGGGAAACAGTTCTGTTGCATATCTAGAGGAATCCCCACGCCTTGGAAAAGTTACTTTTCTGGACTACAATTCCCAGATTGCCCTAGTTAACACAACAGGTCTGGAGATTCTGTAAACCAGAGTCCGAGAAAAGTAATTCTTCCAGGTTTCAGTTTAGCTTGTGGAACAGGCTGTCACTGTATTTTGAATCATGACCAGTTATTGGCTTGGTGAAGCAGGCTTTCGGTGCTGCCTTCCACCTTTCCCCTCATGATTGTCTTTTCCTGAGACACTTGCCTTCTCATGATGTACCCAAAGGAGGACAGCCTCAGTTTCAACATTTCCACCTCCAGAGATAGTTCAGGCTTTGCCTTTCTACCCGCAAGGCTCTCTTCTAACACCACATTTCGAAAAACACGAGAGCCACTAAACAAAAACAAAACCCCAACTTCAAACACTCCTACAAATGGAGAAAGCCCTGTAGTGCTTTCCGCGGGCGGCCTGACGAAAGCAGAGGCGTGCCTGGAGGGAATGGGAGGAGGAAGCAAGGAGATAAATTATTTCTCAAGAAAGAACAGCTTGGGTTTGTTTCCAGTTTTCTTGCATGTTCTCTGCATAGGACTCTTACTCACCTAGTATATATAGCATTCTAGTGAAATAGGGCTGGGCAGTTGGCCTGGAAGGGTGGCTATATTTATCTCGGAGGGGTGCTGCCTCCTCCATTTGGTGGGAGGGTGTGCAATCTGCATCCCAAAGGCTCTCTTGTCTCTCGCACAGACAACTATAGCAGAAGGGACCACCCTAAGGCAATTGCACTTTTGGCACAACATGACAAGACCAGACTCGCTAGAAAAGACAATAATGCTGGAAAAAGCCGAAGGCAGCAGGAAAAAAAAGGAAGATCAAAGATGCAATGGATAGACCCCGCATTCCACAGCCTTGAGTTTAAAAGAGCTGAGCGGGGCTGTTAAGGACAGGAAGTCACTCATTCAGCTGGCTGGATAGCTCAGTGGTTTTAGGGATCTGGCTGCGGAGCCAGAGTTTGGGAGTTCAGTCCTCCACTGTGCCATATGCTCTACGTAGGAAACCCTGAAAAGTGTCACCGTGAGAATTTACTAAATGGCACAAACACAGTTCATACCCTCTGATTCCACTCCAATCCTCATTTGTTCCGCACTGTCTCGAGAGGGCAGGAAGATTTAGAGGAAAGCACCAGGACTCCACTTGTGTTTCGGTCCATACCACCATTTCCAACCTGTGCCCCTCCACATGTTTTTCAACCACAACTCCCATCATTCCTGGCCACTAGCCCTCTAACAGCTGCACAGAATAGAAAAGTCATCATCATCCAATATGCCCCCTCCCGGTTTTGCATCAGCTTGACACACCTGCAGGAATAGGCACACGGCTATGGAATGACAAGCCTTAACTTTTGGACTACAACTTCCAGAATCCCCTAGTTAGCAAGATACAAGTAATATTTATGAGCGCCGCTTGAATATCTTACTTCCTCTCCCTTGGTTCATTATTTCAGTGAAAGTCAAGATGTAAAGGGGACCCCCAAATCCCTACCACTGTGCCTCAAAAAGATCCCGCTTCCCTTTGGGAAGTATCTCCAGGGCTTGCACCACATAGAGCCGAGTGAAGCAACGGAAGCGCTTGAGTGTGAGCAAATTTCCAGCACGTGAAAACAGTTTGGTGCGTAAGAGAAGGAGGCGGGGTATCCCATGCCAATATCTTGCCGTGTGACTCGCTTCTGAGGGCACCATTTTGTTTCTGAACAGGCGGGAGCCTTAAAGACGGTGCCTCCATGCCTCTGAAAGGACAGAGTACATCCTACCACTTCAGTACTTAGCCGCCTGAGGTCCACCTCATTCAAACGCATGAGGGAACGAGAGCTGGGCCCAGCGAGAAGGGAGCGCGAAAAAGTCACTTTTGGGGACTACAACTCCCAGAATTCCCCAGCCAGCATGGTCACAGGCAAGGCTCGCGGCGGGATTTGGAGAGGTGTCGTTCAAAAAGGAAAGAGAGAGAGATCTTTCTAGGCTCTGCACCACCTTGAACGCCGCGGCTTGCTCCAAGAGGTGTTGGGAGGCCCCCGTGCGCTCACCATGATCCTTGCAGGTGGTGGCCCCCGATTTCCTCTTCAGGGCCCGATTGGCTCCTTCAGTGCAAGGAAGGCAGATGGGCCTGCAAAGGAGAAAGAGGCTTGCGATTGGCAGGAAGGGACCCACCAGCAATGACAGCGACCAAGGAACTGAGATTTCTCCCTGTTGTTCCCATTTTTTTTCTTCTTTCCTAGCTCAGTTCTGGTATCAGAATCAGGAAGGAAGAAAAACGCCTGAAGCAAGGAATCTCAGAGAGGAAACTTACGGGATCAGGGAGGGCCCAACATTCCTCCCCTATCTGTTCAAATAAGGCCCCTTTACCTAACTTTATATGTGAACAAAGCAGGAACAGGAATTCAGTCCTCACTGCACTTTATTTGGTCCCAGATACTAGGCTGTATCGCCATTATAATTTCATTACTTTATTCAATATATGACATTTCTTTCTGTTGCAGAAAAAAAGTCTCTTGTGGCACCATAAAGACTAATTAATAGTGAGCCTATCCAGACTGTCCATTTAGGGTATGGGGTGGATTGGGCTACAAGGGGTCTATTGAGGTCAGGTGGAGGAGCGATGTGTCATTTGGCCTCCTCCTGTCTGAACAGCAAATGACCTCTTGTAGCCCAATCCGCTGTCAGTTCAGCACTTCCCCTAATCCTCTGGGGAGGATCAGGGGAAGTGAAAATTTTTACATCACTCCTTTCTCTCTCTCTCTCTCTCTCTCTCTCTCTCTGTCAGTGGTGTTTTGTTTTCTCACTTACCGCCCCCTGCTTCCCTCGTTACTTCACATTTTTTCTCTCACTTCTCTCTATGAATCTGCAGCCACGGTGGTAATTGGACACTGAGGCTGTTAGAGACTGTCCCCCCTGTCTCCCAGCTAAACAGATTAAGCAATGGGCACGCCAAAAAAATGCATGCCCTACCACTGAGCCAGAAAGGTGCAGGACAGCTCTTAAGGGGGAAGGATGGATTGTTCTAAGTAGAAACGCCTCAGGATGCCTTGTTGACATATGAAGAGTAAGCTCTTCTTATCAGGCACCAACAGAAATACACAATAAAACAACCATAAAAATGAAATATAAATTCTACATGATTAACAAAGACCCAATAAACAGAAATAAAAACATTCAGCAGAATAAAATTAGATTGTGAGGGACAGTAAAAAAGCGGCGTAAAAATATTTTTCGCCGTGACACACCTAACAAACCAATAATGTTGTCCTTTCCTGCTGTAAAACATAATAAGGAACCAATCTGATCTCTAAGGAAGTTCTCCAAATAGAGACCCACTTCATTCTTGCAAGCTTCACTTCCAGTTAGTCAGTCTCAGATGACAGAAGAACCCAGAATTTCCTCAGAGCAGATCCAAGAACTGATGGATAGCTCAGTGGTTTAGATCTCTAGCTGCAGAGGCAGAGGTTGGGAGTGCTGGAGATGATGATCCGTAGGGTCCCTTCCGGTTCTGCAGCTCTCTAAGATTTCACAGATTTCCCAGAACTCAATTCATGGATAGACTTGCGCTAGCATTGATCCCAGTGCTCCGTGGGTTTAACTGTACTGGATAAGCAATCAGACATATTATACTGTACCTAGATTTACTTTGAAAGCCACCTTCCTGCATATGATCAGATGAAATGTGTTAAACTGAACTCTTCTTCCAGAGACACTTGCCAGCACTAAAACAAGAACACTTAATTTGCACTTGCCCAGGGTTAGCATTTTGTTTAAAATACAAAAAAGGACTGCATGAACTCCCCGACTGTCCCGTTTGAAACTCATTGAATGCAGAGAAAGCCTGCAGTTTGTAGAGCGAGAGCAGGTAGAAGGCCGATGCCAGTCCACCAGCTGGATTCTGTCAATTACTCGGTACAAGGGGCAGACACCGCCCAACACTTTAATGGCCGCAACTTTTATAAGCCGAGAAGAGCAAGGATCCAAAAAGGGTCCAACAGACCTGGGGTCATCTTCATCACTCCAATAGTCCTACCCACACCTTCAGGGTGCAAGAGCTGAAACTCATCCGTCAACACAGGGCAGGCAGGGGCCATCGTTACATTCACACAGCGCCTGTGTCAACTACAGCATCCAAGAGTGGATCTGAGTGACTTGCCTGCCAGGTATTGTGCAGATTCTTCATAGCCAGCTAGAAAGTAGTGTGTATTCTATACACAATATCGTATTTTCCATGTATAAGATGCCCCCATGCCTAAGACACCCCCTACTTTTCTAACCCAAAATGACTTTCATTGCAAGAAAGTGGAAGGGGAAGGCAGGGATCAAAGTGCTTTGATTCCTGCTTTCCACCTCCACTTTCTTGTGAGGAATGTGCTTTCCCCCTCCACTTTCTTTGCAAAAAGCTGCTTTCCCCCTCCAGTTTCATTGCAAAACGTGGAGGGGGAAAGCAGGGATCAAAGTGCTTTGATCCCTTCCCAATTACTTCCATGTATAAAACGACCCTCAATTGTTCCTCTAATTATTTTAGGGAAAAGTGTCATTTTATACATGGACAAATACGGTATATAGAAAAGACACAACATCTCGTAGTTCCCAGCACTGCAGATTCTCCCCTAGGTTGTTCCTTGGTTAGTCTGGCTTTGTTTGTACGTTACCTGATTCTTCCACCAAACTGCACAGGACTTTTCAGTTCAAGCAGGGAAATGTCATAATCGTAGAATTCTTTGATGCCCTGGCCCACCTTCGCTCGAACGTTGTACAACTCATGGTCGATCCGCCTCTTTATTGGCACCCTGCTCTCTCCTCCTCCTAAGGGGAAAAGATGGTTCAAACAAACATCCTTGAAATCCAGTTTCCTTATCTTATCTTAAAATTGCCGAGCTGGGTCATTGAATCCAGCCCCTGGCAAGGAGGGGAATTGAACTCCCAACTTCTGTGCCTAAACTGCTGAGCTATCGAGTCAGCAATAACTGAAGAACTGGGAAAAGACCCTTCAGATCATCAAGTCCAGCCCCTGTCAAGGAGGCATAGTGAGGAATTGAACTCCCAAACTCCAGCTCAGCAACCAGATACCTAAAGTACTAAGCTATCCAGCAGTGCTACTGTATAGCTCAGTGGTTTAGGCATCTGCCTGCAGAGCCAGAGGTTGGGAGTTCGATACCCCGCTGTGCCTCCTTGATTTAATGATCCATAGGGTCCCTTCCGGCTCCGCAATTCTAAGATGATGATAATGATGATGTGCTCATATTGGATTTGATGGCCTGAAAGACCCCTTTCAACTCCATTATTCTATGAGTCTATGATCCTTTGCAAGCAGGCTTCTGGTGACCAAACAAAGTTCTGGAGAGGAGGACTCCTGCTTAGAGATGGACTAGTTTGTTTAGTAGCCAAACAGATATTCAACACTTCTAAACCACCACTACCTCCTCTGGAAGGCACCCACTCAGAGGCAGCGCCTGGAGGAGAGGGGCAGGGAAGCCGGGGCGCTGCCTACAAATGGGTGCTCATGGGAGGAGGCTTTGAGGCACCAAACACCCCTTTGGCCGCTAAATAAACTGGCATGAATTGGTTCCGTGATTCGTGCCCATCTCTGTGTCCTGCTGAAAATGAAAGAATAACACAGCAGCATAACATACAGTGATGCCTCGCATTACAATGTTAATTCGTTTCAGTGAAATCGCTGTAGAATGAAAACATCATAAAGCGAAATTTAAAAGCCCATAGAAACGCATTAAAACCCGATTAATGCGTTCTTATGGGCTTGAAACTCACCGTCCAGCGAAGATCCTCCATAGCGCGGCTATTTTCGCTGCCCGTGCAGCGAGGAATCCGTCCCAGAAAAGAGCAGGGAGCCATTTTTTTACCCGGTGGCCATGTTGAAACCGCCGATAAGCTGTAGGAAAATTGTCGTTTTGCGAGAATCGGTTCCCGAAGCAGGGAACTGATCATCGCAAAGCGAAATTCCCCCATAGGAAACATTGTTTTGCAATCGCTTTTGCGATCGCAAAAACTTTGTCGTAATGCGATTTTGTCGTAAAACAGAGTGCTCGTCTTGCGAGGCACCACTGTACTCAACTAAATCCCCTGCCCTGACCCTCTAGTACTCTCAGAGGTCCTGCACTGAAAAGAAATCTTTGATTGTAATCTATTTCTACCCATGCTGCTTTGTCTTGCTTTGCTCCCCAAAGATCTAGGTTGCAGACGGATACTCCATTGAGTATACAACACTCACAAGCCACCCCCACCCCCGCCTGCTAGCATGAGAACTGAAGTCTCCAAAAATGGGATTTTTCCCAGGCTGATTCCATTTCAGGTCTTGAGCTGAAAGGACATATCAAGGTATACTCTAGGAAGAAAAGGCACAGCATACATTCAAGGCATGCCTTAGGAACCCAGAGACGACAACAAAGCCGCCCTGTGTCTGCTGTCTGTACTCTCTTCCTTGTAGGAGGGAGGAGTTTTGAGTTACTGGTTTCCTTGTCTCGTTTTTAAAAAAGCACGGTGTGCTGACTGAAGACTAAAGAAAGGAATCAATACACACACGCCCTTTGGGGCAGAAGAAGGGAACTCACTGAGGTCAGTTAGGACAGCTCAGGAGTGGGGCCAAGGAACAGTCACGTAAAATATGGAGGTGCTCCTCCTATCCCAGTCCACCCCGATCCACCCAACTTTAAGGGGCAATTACCTCACGAACCCAGTTCCTGTCTCCCAGAAGAGGAAACGGTAAAACAAGTTGGGCCTTCCAGGAAGAACACTTTTAATACCTAGTGCAGACGGGCTTTGGAGATGAGGCTATGCAATAATATGAAAATCTCTTGGCCGTGAGGAAAAGCCACGAGGGCCTTGGCCCCTTGTCGCTGTGCCCTACCGCAACTTCACAGCACAATCCAAGGCATCTCTCCATGCGTCTTAAATCCCATTGAGTTTAATTGTACTTAATCCCTACTAGAATTGCAGGCTGAGACTGTAGTTAAACCTCAAATTTTTGTAACATAAACAAACGAGTACAGAACTAACTCGACAGCCAGTGTTGACTCAAGTATTTATTTATTTAGTTAAAACATTTTTTTCCCTGTCTTCCTCCTTAAAAAGGACCCAAGGCGGCTTAGATCATTAAAAGACAATATGAAATGCTAAAAAAACAAAACAGTGAGTATAGAAAGAACTAAAAAGGATTTTTTAAAAAATATCTCACATTAAAAAATGGTGAACAAAAACAACAAAGTAGATTCGAAAGATCTGAAGCGGACCCTTTGAATCGACTGGACTTGTCCATGTCTCGGCTTCCCGTTGGCTTCCAATGCAATGGATCTGTTCAACTTGTAAGTGGAGACATGCAAGAGGAAGCCATTCGGTTTGCTTCTATTTGGGGGGTCTTTTGCAGGGAGCCCCTCTTTTGTTTCGGTATCTTTGGGTGCCAGGCCTTTCGGTAAACCCGAAAACACCTGAATCTTTTGAGATGATTTTATTTTGGTTTTCCCTTTTGGATCTCTAGAACTAAAAAGACAAGGGGTGGGGGAAAGACTAGGAGAAAGAACAGGCGGAGCGGGGAAGAAGAAGGCTGGCACCAGGGAGGAAATGACAGAGGAGAGAGTCCTCCTACCATGTTCCCCCGAAAATAAGACAGGGTCTTTTATTAATTTTTGCTCCAAAAATGCATTAGGGCTTATTTTCAGGGGAATTTTAATTTTTTTCATGTACAACCATCTACATTCATTCAAAAACAGTCCTATAATCTTCTAGTTGTTGCACAAGGGTGGAGGGCGGAGTTTCACTCAACTGGTGCTTATTTTGGGGTAGGGCTTAGATTACGAGCATCCTGAAAAATCCTACTAGGGCTTATTTTCAGGTTAGGTCTTATTTGGGGGGGGGGGAACAGGGCATAGGGATCAAATGGAGGCAATCAGAAAGAGGAAATTCATAAGAAATCTGTAAGTTTCACCAGCCTCTCTTTCAGAATCCCAGATCTTACGGTTTCAGAGGCTCTCAGCCAGGAAGCTACAAGATTCTGAAACCGAGTGAGCCTCTTTTGTTTAGGTTTTCCAATCAGGTTAACCCAAAGGTCCAATCTCTAGTTGGGACTAGGGAAAAGGATCTAATCCATTCCGCCCCATTCACCAGGAAGGCAGCAGGAAAAGAGGAAGACCAAATACAATGGACTGACTCTCTAAAGGAAGACACAGGCCTGAGTCTGCAGGAACTGAGCAAGATAGCTGAGGAGAGGACCTTTTGGCTCATTCAGGAGGTCACCATAAGTCGGGGACAAGTTGACCGCACGTAACAACAACCACCAACCCTATTCACCCCTCCCTCCACTTCCCTGCTATTCTCTGTTGAATTCTAGGCTGGAAAACCCTTCAGGCAGGGATATCATTCATAGAAGTAAAACAGGATTTGTGGTAGAAAGGAAGGATTATAAACCAAATAAATACAGAAACCTGTCCTTTCGGATTCTAATACAGCCATATTTACACCAATGGCGCCATATGCAAATCAAGACTATAGCACTATATCCTAAGTTCCACTCCTAGTGCTAAAGGGCTTCACTATGGAAGCATCCTTACTTCCATAGAATTCCACTAGAATCGAGACCCGCTTAAAGAACGTCTACTTTCTCCTTTGTCTCTTACCCAGGATAACGGTCCAGCTGGAAATGTTGTTTATCGTGTTGAAGCAGTGAGCGGAGGTCAAGACCCATGTCTTTGAAATCAAGGCCCCCCGGCAAGGTGGTTCTGCTTGATGCTATTGTGAGAATGAGGAAGTTTATTCAATACAAGGCTAACATCCCGGGATTATT